TTTTGTGTTGTACATTTGGAGAAAGAGAGGAAGAAGGTGATTGGGTTTTGCAGGATTTACAGGTAATTGAGCGACTGTCTGCTAGAGAGACCAACATCTGGTCAGAGCTGTGAATGTGACCACCACACCTTTGTGCCTTCCATGCTGAGCCCTGAAGCACAGGAGCACTGGCATCTCAACTACTTCATGACTCATTCAAGCCAGGGAGGCAGTCCTTTTCCAGAGTGCAGAAGCCTGTGGCTCTGGAGGAGTAGATATAGGCTGGACTGTGTTAGGCCCATCCTTTCATTAAACAACTTGTCATCTTGGGCAGTTAGTATACTTTTTTGCACCTTTGTTTCTTCACCTATAAAATTAGGATAAGAATACCTCAGAGAATTGTTGTGGAGATTATCATTTAACAATTCTTCCACTCCACAAACATTTATTGAGGTATTGTTTGCTATACACTGAATGAGTGCTGGTGATCCAGCAGCCGCTTCTTTTAAGAAGTATATGCACCCTAGTGGACTGGGAGACAAATCAGTATGTAATGTGACAGGTGAAGAAAATTCAAGAGAATCAGTGAAGGTAGAAAGAAAAAAGATGGGGGGTTGCTATTTGATATAATGTGGTTAGAAAGGTCTCTCTGAGGAGATGGTAGTTGAGCAGAGAACTACACAAAGTGAGGAAGCAAGCCATGCCCCCTGCATGCACACTGTGTGTGGAGTGTTTGAGGAGGTGCCTCCACCAGAAAGGAGGCAGGAGCATGGGCTGGGAGGACGTGATAGGGATGAGATGTGTGGGAACAGGTAGGCAGGTCCAAAAGTGCCTGTAACTCATCATGAGGACTTTGGGTTTTGCTCTAAATTAAGCCATATAAGAGTTTTGAAAAGAGGAAAGACAGATCTGCTTTCCATTTAAAAATAATTCCTCTAGTTGCTAAGCTGAAAATATACTGTAGGTGAGCAAGCATGAAAATAGAATAATTAGGTCTTCTCAGTAATCTGGGTGGGAGGTGGTGGTGGCTTGAACTTGAATGATAGCAGCAAAGGTAGTGAAAAGAGGTTATATTTTGAAGGTAATAATAGGATTTGCTCATGATTTAGATGTGGGGTATGAGAGAAACAGATGAATCAAAGGTAAGCTCAAATTTTTGGCCAGGGCACCACAAAGCAGGAGTGGCCATTTGCTGAACTAGGGATGGCTCCGGTGCAAGTGAGGCTTGAAATAAATGAAGAGTTAATTGTTTGGACATGTGAAATTTAAGATGTCTGTTAGATATCCAAATGGAAATGTCAAGTGGCCAGTTGAATGCAGGAGTCTGAGTTCAAGGGGGAGATTGGAGTGGAGATAAATGTTGGAAGATTCACTGCATGGAAGTGAAAACTGGATGAGATCAAGGCTTAGACTGTTGATGGAGGAAGAAAGGAGACAGAGCCGTGGGCACCCTAAACTATAGCAGTGCAGGTGGTGAGTGAGATAGAAGACAGGTGAAGGGCGTGAGCATCAAATGCTATACCCATCTTACACAAGATCAATTCACACAGATACCAAATTGACCGTTTGGAGATTTATTAGCCATCGACTGCGAGCAGACTCCTGCCCTAACAAAACTCACAGCCCCGAACAGGCTTCGCAGGGAGAATATAAAGGCAAAAACCATATCCTGGTTGGGGAGGAAGAGCAGGTGGGGGACTAGCGAAGCAGCATACAGGAGCTAAGATAAGCATTAATTAACCTTCTTCGGTTAGCTATTCCCTGGAATTTTGTGGGCCAAATCTTTACAAAGAGCCAGGGGAGGGGAAGGAGGTCATTGTTTCTACCAAATTTTGTTGCTCTTGCTTATCTTCAAAGTAGCTATTGTAAGGGTAGAAAATGGGAGTGCTAAGATGGGAGTGCTGTACTTCACAAGTAGGTGAGTAAGAAAAGGACTGAGAAGTGACCAGAGTCTGCAGTACAGTGGATAGAAGGTGCCCAGGACAGCCTAGTTTAATTAAACAATGAGTGTTTAATTACATTTAGGTATCTCCTCACCCCTTGTCTTTATTTTCTGGTTTGGATGGCAGAAAACCTCACCTAAATTAGTGCCTTAGCCAACTTGTGTCCCAAAAGCCTCACTTGGAGAAATACTGTTCTAAATCACTCCTGCTTTAAAATTATTTGAGTCAAACCTCAGGCCCTCCTGGTGAGGCTGGGCCCATTCTCCTTAAAATCACATGACTTCTGAATTGGGACAATGAATGTATCATCTCTTTAAAATATAAAAACAGTAACTCATAAACATGCAATACTATGTTGTCTATGAAGAAAGGAGGAGACCAGCATTTTGAAGGGCTTAAGATGTTCTCAGCACAATGACTTCTCATATGTTCTTTCTCATTACATACATTTGTGAAATATATTAAATGTCAAAATTTATTTGGGCTGGGTGGGTGTGTTGGTGAAGGGATTGAGCAACAAAGGAAAGAAAAAGAAAGAAAAAGCTCATTGATACAGACAACAGTGTGGTGATTGCCAGGGGGAGAGGGGGAGGGGGAGAAATGTATAAGGGGGATAAATGGTGACAGATGGAGACTTGACTTGGGGTGATAAACACAACACGGGGTACAGATGATGTGCTGTGGAATTGTGCACCTGAAACCTATATAATTTTATTAATCAAGGTCACCCAATAAATTCAATAAAAGGGAACAGGTATTGAGTATCCCCTACCATGGTAGTAATTAGCTGGTTTTTTGGCCAGTCCCATATCTAAGTTGTAATGAATAAATGGAGCCCAGCAAGTCCCCTTGTCTATGATTTTCATTTTACAAATGCCAACTAAACATACTCTTAACTCTCCTGATAATTTTTTATGGTGATGCTCACCAAGTTTTATTCTTCTCAGTGAAGGTCCTGTTCAGAAAGTTGTTTAGCACTTCACAGTTTACAAAGCACTCTATTCTACAAAAAGCACTTGAGCCTTAAAATAACTCTGTGATATAGGCATACTGGTTATATTAACTTGATGGTTTTCAAAAGCAAGTATCTATTACTCCCTCTTCTTCCTTTATATCCTGTGCAATGTTGCATTGTATCCTTTCCTAGCTTTACATGATATGCTAAACTATTCCTATGTTTATATAAATGTTGAGAAATTAGACTCTTTGTAGTTGGGAAAAAATGGTGTCCCATACATCTGAATTGTTTATTGGCTACGGGCTAAATTGCTATAATACTGGAGATAGGACAATGGGATAATAGGTTTGGGTGTAGAAAGATGAGGGATATTACTGAAGAAACAGAAGTTCAAGTTTGATTGTGACAGATTTCAGTGTGGTCACAGCAAAATTTACAAAAGTGGGGACAGACAGGTTCTTGCCTGTCAGTGTAAACCAAAACTCAGACTACAGCGATTTTAGAAAATTCAGAGAATTTTATTATAATTATCATTCTATTCTTTTGGGAATTGCTGTGATCTAAAATGTGTTTACATCTTGGTATTAAAGAACTCTTGCAGATACATTGGCAAGGGTTTGAGCTGGTCAACGTTTAACTCGCATGTAGAATTTCCACTGTTCCTGTCTACGTTGTAGGAGCATACAGATCAGCACTTTGAGTAGTCCTCCTGTGTCTTGCTTTCCATACTTACCACACAGTTTTTCTTGCCTATGATTTTTGTCTGAAATATCTTCAGCCTGGCCTAATTACAGCCAACCCTTGCACAACGTGGTGGTTAGGGGCACCGTGTTTAACTTGACTCCCTAAAAAGTTGACTGCAGTCATCCCTTGGTATCTGTGGGGGATTGGTGCCAGGACTGCCCTCTGCCCAAAGGAGACCAGAATTCTCAGATGCTCAAGTCCCTTATATAAAATAACTTGAACAATGCATATAGTCCGCCCCCCACATCTGTTGCTTGTTCAGTCCATGGATGTGAAACCCAGGGATACAGAGGGTCAACTGCATATTTACAGAAAAAACCCTGCAAGTAAGTGGACCTGTGCATTTCAAACCCATGTTGTTCAAGGGTTAATTGTACTTTGTCATATTCAGCCTTTCATTATATTCTAATACTCATTGAGGAATGAATGTGTGAAAAACATATTACCTTGCCTAGCATGGTACAGGCTTCTTAATGGTTGGTTGATGCCTGATTCCCCTTTTTTCTTCTCAGAGCTTAGCTAAGTGCTTTATACATAGTGGGGACTCAGTACACATGTATCAAATAGACTTGAACTAGAATTGGTCACTGTTGTGCCAGCTGCATTATTCAGTGATAAATATAAAAGGAAAATGTATGATTAACAATTAAAGATATGATCGTATTGACTTTCTTATTTTATTAACTTTATTTGATATGTACTGTTTTGGACACTATTTTTATATATAGCTATTTACCAGTGTACCTTAACGAAACTTATGGACAAAAAATTGCCTTGTATTTTTAATCCAACTTTTTACAAGAGAATTGTGGACAAAATGTGACTGTTACAGACTCTTAATACTTTCAGTTTACCTGAAAAACACTATATTTGGTGGCTTTAGATATATTTATTTCTATCTTTTGATTTTAGTAGTGAGCCAAATGTCCTGGAAATTCCATAACATGAATATAAACCCCATGACAAAATGTGCTTATACATTTTCAAAAGCCAGGATTACTCTTTACTTAACAGAAATCAGGCTTTAGGTTTTAAATTATAACCAATTTTCTGGTATCACTTTAGTTTGAGTTTTGGTTTACAATGATAGGCAAGAACCTGTCTGCCATCACTTCTGTACATTTTGCTGTGACCACTGAAGTCTGTCACAATCAGACTTGAACTTCTGTTTCTCCAGTGATATCCCCATCTTTCTACACCCAAACCTATTACCCCTCTGCCTTATCTCCAGTATTATAGCAATTTAGCTGATAGCCAATAAACTATTCAGATGTATGGGATGTCATTTTATTTCCAACTATAAAGAGTCTAATTTCTGTGTATATGTTGACATTTTAATAGAAATTTTCTGAAGTTTTGTTTTTTGTACATGATAGTACGGGGAAACTCAAACATGAGTGGTTTCTCCAGAAAGATTCCGAAGGGGACACACCTTCACTTATCAACTGGCCTTCCAGGTATATCCCAAGTTGAAAGTCTTGGCTTGTTTCCTGAGTGCTTCTCCTCCCCCTGCTTCTTGCCTGCTGATTCACATGTCACCCAATGCGAATTCTCCTCTTCCTAATGGCAGTGAATTTGAAAATCACGCGTTCATATAGGGCTGCAAAAGTTACTTCCTAATCATTTGCTTTTCTCCTTCAAATGTCCTAATCTCCTCTAATAGCATTTCCTTTTGGTCCTCCTTTTGAAAATCTTTTGACTACACCTCTTGTTTTTCTCCTCTCTCTATACTTTACACACTGCCAGCCCACCAGGCACCTCTGGGTTGCTCTCCTTCTGAGGCCAACTACCCAGCAGGTGTCCCATCTTTTCAACATCCCTTCACCAAGCACTCCAGCCTCCTTGTTTTCATGTCGCCTTATCTCTAAACCAATAGTTAATTTTCAAAAGTTACATTGAGCGCCTGTAGTTTTAAAAGCAGACAAAAACCCCTATCATTTCATTTTTCAGGTTGGGGGCAGGGAGAGGCGGAAGGAGTAAGAATGAATAAGTCATTGGCAGGACAAAGCACCCATATATTGAGTTTCTAACAGTCCCTTTGTTCTCTGCTGAGGACAACGTTCAGATTGTCTGATTAGAAGGACACATTCCACAGGAGAACTTGAACCACATTTCAGTCTTCTTTTGATTAACAAAGCTTATAAATATGAAAACATCCAACACTGGCCAGTCTGAGAAAAATAACACTCAGAATCCTTTTTTTCACCTGAATTGTTCATAATAAGTGCCCTTCATGTGCATCTTTGTTTTTCTTTAATGAAGTATACCTAGATATCCTGCACCTTATGTTGGAAAATATGTAGGCTTTCATATTAAATTCAGCAGGGTGCATTGGTCATTTAAGGAAATAGTCTCTTCTAAAAAGTATATATCAGAAATAATTATTTTTGATGATTCATCTTAAGTAAATAAAGGTTTTACATTCCCTAGAAATCACTTTTCCTACTCCAAAGGTATTCTTTTTATTTTTTATTTTTTTAAATTATCCCCAGTTAGTAATCCATTCCTAAGCAGTTTCAATGGTTTCTCCTTTCTCACTAAGTGGTATTTCAAAAAATAAAAATAAGAAATAGCTAGGGCTATTAAAGCTATGTGCTTTGCAAACATCAAGGGACATTTTGTCACTGTTCTTTCTTTCCATTTAAAAGATAAAGTGACTGAGGCAGGTAAACTGAGACCACACAGCTAGAACTAACTGAGCCAGGCTTTGAGCAGAGGTCTCCTAGGACCCCATAGTCAGAGCTCTTGGCTACTTTTCTTCTGCAGCGATAGAAGTAGAAAAGTAGCTTTTAAAATGGATTTCAGTCTTGCCGTCAGAAAGCACCAAAGTAATCTCTTTCTACATTACTTTTTAACTAACTGCCTGATAGGAATTGCTATTTCAGAGGAGAGAAATTATTCAGTTTATTAATACTTTCAACAAATATCTTTTCTCTAACATTTTTCTGGGTGCGAGACTTATTAGGAGTAATGATGTCCAAACTGGTGACATCTTCTGAATGAATGACTGCAGTCTGCATTGCATGAAAAGGCTTGTGAATGTTTAGTTGAGTGCTCGAAAGAGGTGATTATTTGTCATATCTTGAGCTCAATAAAAAAGTAATCATGAATGCTCTTACATTTCCAGGAGACAATGAAATTACATTTGGTCAATAGGTGTAGGTATGCCTGGAAACTGCCCACAGTCATATGCTAGGCCTGTACATGCAGAAAGCTTGCTGTGTACAGCACCAGCCTGTGTGTCCTCATGTATACTGCTGGTGTACATCAAGGGGTTTTTCTGTGGCTTCTGGGTATTCATTTAGTTAGAAGGCATCCACTTTCTCCCAGGATAGCATCTGACCCCTCAGCTTTACAAAGGGTAGAGTTAGTTTTGCACTACCCTGGCATTTGAATGAACATTTGGAAAATTGACTCAAAATCATTCATCTTGCAAGCAGTGGGTTTCTGATATTAACCACCCAAAATGCTTCTCCACAAGTAGTTCTCTCTTCGGTTTTATTTCCATTCACTGGTAATCCATGATGCACGCATGCTTCCTTCCCATTAAGCAGTTACTGTACTTTGCAACTTAACCCTTTTTCTTTCTTAAAGAGTTAAAGTTAGAGAAAAATTGGTGAAAGAGGAGAGTGCTCGCAGCAGCCCTGAACTTGCCTCAGAATCTTTAACTCACAGGAGACATCAGCCCATGCCAGGGCGTTACCTGTCCTTTCAGTCAGAAAACTCGGCCTTCGATAGGGTCACGAGCAAGGCAGCCGGCTCTGCACGACGGCCAATCCGTGGTTATGTCCAACCAGCAGATTCTGTGCACACTGCCATGCTGGTGACCTCAGAAGTCCCAGAAAGTGTGTCTGAGTGCAGCTGGGTGGGATCAGCCACCCAGAAGGTCATAAAGCCTCCCACCCTGAAGGTTCTCGAAGGTGAGAGAAGGGATACCCCCATTCTCCATATCTGTGAATCACAAGCAGAAGACATGCCCCTCACTGAAGCTCTCGAGAAAAGCAGGAAAGCACTCTTGGCTTTGGAGGATGGTGGGCTTGAAAGAAGCCACGAGGACCCCTCTGGAAATGAGGACTTTGATAAACCCGCCAATGGTACCATCACCTTAGAACATCAGGAGGAGCCAGAAAGTCTTTCACACCCACCTCAAGCTCAGCACCAGTTCACTGAGAGAACAGGCAGGAGCGAAATGGTTTTGTATGTTCAGAGCGAGCCTGTGTCCCAAGATGCCAGAGTGACAGGTCACAAAAAAGAAGCATCTAGGAGGAAGCACAAGGTCCTCACCCGCTCCCTGTCTGACTACACGGGCCCCCCTCAGCTCCAGGCCTTGAGGAGTAAGGATCCAACTGTAAAAGGAGAGCCCAAGTTGCAGAGTTCCAAAGCTGAGGGGCCCCATTCAGAGCTGAGTATGCTGGACACCAAGGTCTCTGTCGCCCAGCTCCGAAGTGCATTTCTGGAGTCTGCCAGTGCCAGCAAGAAACCTGAACTGTAGGTGATGTTTCAAACGCCCTCCTGATGTGTCACTTGCACGTCCTTGGCAGAATTATTCATTTCTCAACTTGTGTTGTGTCCTGCATTGAGTCATATTTAAGCTTAGCTCACAAGTGTGCAGGGCAGACCATATAGGACATGGCTCCAAAACTACCATTCTGCTTCGCCTACTAATGGGGAGCTGGAGGATTGGGTCTCTGGAATGTTCCACCTCCTTTGCATGCATGGGAGAGGCATGCAGTGGGATTTGGTGGTGTCTGTACCTTGACTCTGTGAGATGCATAAACCTTTGCTTTATTCTCTCTCTCTCTGTCTCCCTGGTCCCCTGCTGTATCCTCTCTCCCAATGATTCTAAAAGCCAATCGCGGTTTGAGAGGTCAACCAAAGGAGTTGGCTTGCCTACCAGTGTGGAACGGGAGAGAGGATCCCGGAAACCACGACGCTATTTTTCTCCTGGTGAAAGTAGAAAAACTTCTGAGAGATTTAGAACTCAACCTATAACATCAGCAGAACGAAAGGAATCGGATAGGTAGGCACGTGTATGTCTAGGAACTTAAGAAGACTCATACAGGATTTCACGACAGCGATGGTCCTGATACTGTTTAAATGGGGTGTGATGATTCCATAGTTCTTCCATCTAATCGATAAGGGTTATTTATTTGGCTTATATAAATGTGCTTTTAAAGAATGTCCATGACAACAGTATCCCAAGACAGTTTTAAATTGCGCTCAAACTGTAAGAAGTAAGAAATTTTTTTCTTCATTTAATGTTTTTAATTTTTTTATTCCCTTTTTAAATTAGAATCCAAATTGAGTATTCACCGGATTTTAGTGAAAATAACTGAGGGATATTCATTTTATAACTGTCTCCCTACCTGTTGTATCTGAGTTTTGTATTATCACTTGATTATCCCTGAAAATTATAAGGTTTGTCTAAAAAATTATCATCAGTGATGTTGAATAAGTCATACTTGATTCTGGTTTGTCTCTACAAGGTATGCACTTGGCTGGGCTGTGTGCACATGCACTCTATAGTGTCTGTTAACTGTGCATGTGTATTCACAACTAGAATTATTGTCAGGATGATATTCTTTAAGAAAGTTTAATTGCATTTTATTTTTACTTTTAATATAACTTATATGGATCTTCTATTCTCACCAGCTAATTTTTGTTACTATTATTTGCTAATGTCTTTCCTAGGTCTACTTCAAATTCAGAAATGCCAACTGCTGAGGGCAAGTATCTGTTTTCCTTTTGCTTCCTTATCATCATGCCCAGATTAGATTTAAATAAGATTTTTGCTTTTTTGAGAATGAGATTATCGTGCATATCTATTTCTTACTTTTCTGCAGATGTTCTTTCTGTGACTGTAACAAAACCTAGTTATGGTTTTCAGATGATCTTTCCCTTATTTTTGAGAGAGAATTGCTGAGTGAGCAATAATAAAACAGCTGATTTGATCCAAAGAAGCAGGCTTTTCTTGTTACTGCTGCTATTGAACAATAAAGAAGAGACATTCCTTCCCAAAAAATCCATCATTAAATCTCAGGTTGGCAAATAGCACAGTAGAAAATTACTGTCCAGACAGAATTTTTTTGGTTAATTGCAATGGAAATGAGTACCTTTACACTGAGCAGAAGAATAGGCTCACTGCAAGGGGGAAATACTGCCAACTGTAATTTTTAGTACATCTATTCTTATAGTCAAAGGATTTCTAGGTCAGCCTTGAGAAACCTTTAGAATCTTTACATATATTTTTTAATGATGTCTAGTGTTTATTTTGTGGCTTTTTACAGATGAAGAAAAGGTAGATGAACGAGCCAAGCTGAGTGTTGCTGCCAAGAGGCTGCTTTTCAGGGTAAGATGTGCTGAAGTGTTTGAGCAGAAGCTGTCACCCTCTGAGGGTCCACTGCGTCCCGCACCTGGGCCTTCTGTGGCCCACGTTGGTCTAGCCCACCTGTGGTTCTCTTCAGATCCTTGGCTGGTGTGACCACCTGCTGACACAGAGCAAGTGTTCACCTCCTATCATGATTTGAACCTCTTGCGGTGTTTCCCGGAGTAGAGCTATTTTGCTGCCCCAATTTCCTGTCCTGGAATTCATGAGGATTCCATAATGTTTCTGATCTCAGGAAATGGAAAAGTCATTTGATGAGAAAAATGTTCCAAAACGATGTTCAAGAAATGCAGCCGTAGAGCAAAGGCTGCGACGTCTACAGGACAGATCCCACACCCAGCCCGTGACGACTGAGGAGGTGGTCATCGCAGCCACGTGAGTCTCCTGTCTGCCCTCGGCCTTGGCTGTAATGCCTTCTTTTAAAAAAGAGATTTAAAGACTTTTTAATAAAAAGAGGTTATTGGGAGATGGTTTAATCAGAAGCCGTAGTGAAGTTGGTGTTTAGGGATTTTTCTTACCGGAGTCTCTCTGAACCTTGTAATGGGATGTGTGATCTATTGTATCTACTAGAAAAACATGAAAAGGAATTTTGTTTAGTTTTTCTGTCTGCATTTTTTATCTATTTTACAATGGAAAATTTACAAAATGAAAGTCGATGGATTATTATAATGAATCCTATGTACTCATGACCCAGTTTCAGCAGTCATCAACTCCTGCTGTACCTCGTATCCCCACCCACTTCCCCTTTCCTCTTGCATTATTTTCAAGCAAACCCCAGATATCATTTATCCTATAAATATTTTAGTATGTATCTCAAAAAGTGAAGAATTCTTTTTGTTTTTAAATAATCAAAATTTTGAAAAATTAATTGGAAGTTTGATAACTTTTTAAACAAAAGGAGGTAATTTTTGAGCAGTATGTTATAATATATTCAGAATGGGTTTCCCAGAGTAATTCATTCATTCAGGGATAATCACTTCCATCAAGTGAAAACTTTTATTAGTTTTTTTTGTTGTTGTTAATCCTCATTGGAGGATATTTTTCCCATTGATTTTTTAGAGAGTGGAAGGGAGGGAGGAAGGGAGAGAGAGAGAGAGAGAGAAACATTGATGTGAAAGAGACATATCGATTGGTTACCTCCCACATGCACCCCCAATTGGGACAGAAAGAACCTGTAACCTAGGTACATGCCCTTGACTGGGAATTGAACCCAAGGCACTTCGGTGTGCAGGCTGACTCTCTAACCACTGAGCCATACCAGCCAGGGCAACTTTTATTAGTTTTTGGAAAATTGTTTTTGTGCTTCCCCTGGACACACACACACACACACTTTTTGAAAAAAGTGGAGTGCATCTTACGTGGATTAACATCCCAAGAAGCCTCAATGCCACAGCCCACTACTGTGAACCTACTGTTTGATCAGCTGCCTTCACTTCCTTCCTCATCTACTCCTCAACATTTTGGTATATTTGTGGATAAATACTTCCTGCACCCATTAGGAATGCTTAAATCAGGTTTTTGGGGTTTTTTTTTACTTAAATTTTAATTTTTTAATATTTGAGTGTCTGTTGTAAAACACCAAACCCATGGGAGCAAAACAGTAAATATAAGCAAAAACTATCACTTTGTAAGGCTCACTGAGTCTACTTTGACATGCCTATAGATTATATGAGGACCCTGATTCTTTAAAAAAAAATAGATTGAGAAAAACATTCCAAAAATGGTCATTATCTGCTGATATCCTGGTGGTTTTCATTAGCTTTCTTTTAAATTACTTTTTTAGACCAAGATATTTCTTCTAGAGATAGCCTATTCTTATTCCATTTACTTTGAGTAGCCTCTGTCTGTTATTTCCTAAGTTTGTTACTGCTTTTCAAGTTCTCCTGTGATTTTCCCAAAGTAATAAGCAAATAATTTTGTTAAAATATTTGATTTCATGTTTCTGAATGGAACACTTTGCTTTCCTTAATGCTTCTTTTCTTCTCTCTCCTTATGAATGTTCCTTCTTTGGCAATTGCTTTAAAGTGAACCTCTCCCTGCTTCGTGCTCTGTGGCCACCCACCCTGTAATGACAAGACTTCCTAGTCCCACTGTAGCTAAGAGCACTGTGCAACCTGCCAGGTACTGGACAGCAATAGCAGCATGCGGCCTGAGGGCAAAGGTGCTAGACCACAGAGGAGTCTGAAAATCTTGAATGGCTTTCATTTGTTTGACAACAAGTCAGTGCAATGAGTTCCAGGAATGTTTTGTCATAGTGCAAGACACTGGTAGCTTCATGTAGGTCTGCATGAGAAAACATCTCATCTACCTGCTTCCACTGGTAGCTTCATGTAGGTCTGCATGAGAAAACATCTCATCTACCTGCTTCCACGATATGCTGGAACTAGGATCACACTAACTCAGCCACCCATTTGCTTTGTTTCTGTTCTTCATAACCATAGCCACCTCTAAGAAATGTCATTCTTCAATCTAAAACACTAGCACTTAATAAAGATTAATAGAAAAACAGGAGTTAATGTGAATGTTGAAATTCTGATAATACCTAGTTTTTTTTTAAACCTGTGTAGACACAAATAGGTGTTAAAAACAATCCTACCTGTTTCTAGTGTATAGATAATGCCATTATATTTGGGGATTAAGATATTAAGAATTTATAGTGTCTGAAAGATGTTTCCTTACCATGTTTTAAAATTGTGTCCTTAAGGCATGTAAATAGTCCCTCTATTTTACTATTATGGGCCAAAACACAAAGCTAAAAATAAGACTAAAAGAAGTAAAATGACAGTGTGGAAATAAAGCTGGCACAATCCAGAAGCTGAGACCTCACTGGGGAAGGAGGTTGAGGTTGCCCTCCCAGTTCAGGAAAGATACCATTAGATCCCGGAACACTGACGCTGCTCTTTTGTCTGGGACAGCATGTGAAGTGGTGATTAATTGGAGTCAAGTCAAAATACTGTATACCATTTACTGGACTTGAGAATTGGATTTGCCAATGCAGAAGGGAGCTTGTCTTAAACCTTTGGGGATTCACTGTGGCCATGCAACCTGAAGCTTTCTCTGCCTGGGAGCCAGAGAGACTTACCATTGTCTGAAATTTCCTTCGCTTTTCAAGTTACTGGGAATTACAGAGTTTTGTTGTTGTTGTTGTTGTTTTTCCTGGAGAGCTTTTGTGTTTTTAATCTTTAATGTTTAATTATAAAAATACACGTTCACTGTAAAATTTCAGCCAGTATAGAAGTGCATAAAATAGAACATGAGAGCCCTATCAGCCAGTGATTTAAGCCCCCTTAAAAAAGCTGGTAGAAACCTATGAGAGAAAGTGCTAAAGTGAAGGAGTGAGAGACTCTTAAAATTAAACCATTTGTGTTTAGCAAGTAAAAATCAAAATCCTGTGTTGTGGATAATGTTGTTGACAACATGATTATCCTATTTGCTAATTATTTAAAATGAAAAGACCACCTTCTGAACCACATATTAAGATAATGTCTAAATATGCCATAGGTGATGCCTTAAGACTCCCTTTAGCTTTATTTATTGTTGATACTAATAATACAACTTTTCTCTCTAAAATAAGGCATGTCCAAGCTGACCTCCTTTTCTTAAATAGGAAATTCAGTTTCTACAGATAATTCAGAGCTAAAAATCTCCTCTTTGTGAAATTGACAAAGCTAGTGTCCCCAGGCTACTCTGCTTTATACTGTCTCCTTTAATAGCTAAACAACTGCCTGCACCTGTCTTAAATGTATGTAGGCAAAAGTAAAGCCCCTTTCAAAACTGACACTTGGAAGAAAGTTAACATACAAAATTAGCAGTGGGCTTGTGTTTGTTTTTATCTGTGTTGCTGACTTTTTCTCCCTTTCAGATTACAGGCATCTGCTCACCAAAAGGCTTTAGCCAGAGACCAGGCAAATGAGGGCAAAGATTCTGCTGAACAAGGTGAACCTGATTCCTCCACTCTAAGCTTGGCAGAGAAGTTGGCCTTGTTTAACAAATTGTCCCAGCCAGTTTCAAAAGCTATTTCTACCCGAAACAGAATAGACACGAGACAGAGGAGAATTAATGCTCGCTATCAAACTCAGCCAGTCACGCTTGGAGAGGTGGAACAGGTGGGTACACTGTCATTGAATTCCAGTTTTTCTGTATGTTCTTAAGCTATAGGAGCACTGGGCTCTCTCAGGTTACTGATATAATGAAGGTGGTCTACCTGTGCCCTGTGTTGCCTGTGGATGACTGGGTAATGACTTCATTCCTAAGAAAGTCACCATGCCAAGAATATTTCTCTTTTCTTGTTTTCATAATTTGCTTGCTGAAATCATCTGAAGTGTGTCTGTTTTGGAGAGAAAAATAGGACTCTCAGTCTGTTTTGAACCCAGATGATTTGATTAATGAGATGCACTGTATAACTGTGTCTAGTATTGGTATCCCACAAGAGAGTGTGGAGAGACAGAAAGCAATAAAACTGCACCAAATGTACTATTTCACTCTAGGTCAATCCATACACTGGAATTTATATAGACATTATTTTTAAATCAGCTCTTTCCTTTTTCACTGTGTCCTCCCAGGTGCAAAGTGGAAAGCTCATTCCTTTCTCACCCACTGTTAACACATCTGTGTCCACCATGGCATCTACAGTCACTCCGATGTATGCAGGGGACCTTCGGACAAAGCCATCCGTGGATGACAACACAAGTGCCACTGACTATAAGTTTCCTTCTTCGATAGAAAATTTAGACTCTCCAGTTAGAAGCACTCTGAAGCCCCAATCCTGTCAGCCTTCAGTAGAGGGCAGTGGGAGCAAAGGTATGTTGAGAGAGTTTGGAGAGACAGAAAGCAAGAGAGTCTTGACAGGTAGAGATGGTGGTGTTAAAAAGTACGGGTCCTTTGAGGAAGCAGAGCCATCCTACCCCATCCTCAACCGAGTCTGGAAAGGAGACAGCCATAAAGAACCTAAGTATGATGTTCCGAGAAAGGGAAGCCTGGAGCTAGCTAATGCTCCCATCGCCCACCTTGGCGATGAGGACTTTTCCACTGCCAAAAGCACCGCACAAGAGATCCCAGACTTGAAGGATAGGCAGCCTTTTGAAGAGAAGGTGGACATGGAGAACGTCACAAAGAGGAAGTTTTCACTGAGAAGTAAGTTGCTATTGCTCCTAAAGTTGGAGAAACCAACTGGGTTTTAGTTTCTGCTGGATTATTTGCATGTGTTTGTGATTGTTTCTAATTAAATTATGAAGGCAGTTTTTAACTAGCATTAATTAAATTTTTTTTTAAAAATATATCTTTAGCCCAGCCAGGCGTGGCTAGCAGTTGAGCGTCGACCTAGGATCCAGGCGATCGTGGTTCGATTTCCAGTCAGGGCACATGCCTGGGTTGCAGGCTGGATCCCCAGCAGAGGGTGTGCAGGAGGCAGCCAATCAGTGACTCTCATTATTGATATTTCTATCTCCAGTTCTCTCTCCCTTCCTCTCTCTGAAATCAATAAAGATATATTTAAAATATATATATATCTTTATTTAAAATATATATATATCTTTATTGATTTCAGAGAGAGGAAAGGAGAGGAGAGGGAGAGAGAGAGATAGAAACATCAGTGATGAGAGAGTCATTGATCGGCTGCCTCCTGCACGCCCCCCACTGGGGATCGAGCCTGCAACCCGGGCATGTGCCCTGACCGGGAATTGAACCATCTCCTGCATCTTAGGTTGATGCTCAACCACTTAGCCACGCTGGCCAGGCACATTGATTAAAATTTTACTGTGAATCCTACTCTCCCAGACTTCTCTTCTTCTTGAATTTGACTTATACAATGGATTATCAATTTTTCAGCAATAAAAATATGTGAAGCTCTTTCACACATCTTGATAAGGGAGTTTGATTACTTTGGTCACATTAAAGCACATAACAGCCTTGTCAATTGCTAGCTCTGTTGGCTCCTTTTATGAGTTGATGACCCCAAATGTCCAGGGCTGAGTAAGCCCAGGGAAGCAGGACTTGAACCCAGGTGGATTTCTCGGCTCTCCTCCTTCATCCCTCTTATGCAGACTAGCAAGCTCTATTGCATGGGACTTCCTTTCTCTTTTTACATTTATAGTACATATAAAATGATAGTGTGTAAGTTATAATAGTGGTTTTGGCTTGTGAGTGTGACACATTTAAAAGTACTCTTTGGAGGAGTAGAAACATTTTATAGTGTACAGTTAAAGCTAACTTCCTGTGTCTTGCACACAGGAAGAGACCAATTGTCACCAAAGTATTTGCTGTGTGGAGTAGCCCACTGGGAAGTCTGGTTTTCTCACAGAGTATTGCGTGCCACAGATTTGCATAAATCCCAGTGGATTGGTTAACCGGCCCTGTGCCCACAGATTGGACTCCAAATGCAGGACTGTTGCGGGTTAAATAGCTAGAAGAATGTTTGCCTGGAGAAGTAAGTGCTGACGTCGCTCCTTTCCTTTCAGCGGCTGAGTTCGGGGAGCCCACTTCTGAGCAGATGGGCACAGTTGCTGGGAACACTGTTGCTCAGGCTGCAGCCCCAGGGTCTTGGAAGCAGCAGGAGCCCACAGAGCTACCACAGGAGAAGCACTATAAGAATCCATGTGCGATGTTTGCTGCTGGAGAGAGCAAAACGCCAACAGTGGAGGGCAGCCTTGATTCACCCAGCAAAACTATGTCAATTAAAGAAAGGTAATCAGATTTAACAATTGCAAAGTAATTCTATTAGGGAGGAATTACAGCTTGTTTTTAAGGAAAGATCTGAGTAATGGGCAAAAAGATGAAATCGCAAATCCAGCTACATAAATGAGATATGCTGTTATACTAGAATTCTTTGGGGAAGTCGAGGTATTTGAGAGCAAACTCTAGCTACTCCCTACCTGCTTGGGTAAGTCTGGATGAAGGCCAGTTCCAGGCTCATATGAGGAAGCCACAGAAACAGACATTTGCTTGCTTTATTTTTTTGCAGTTTTATTTTCTTTTTAATGTTAAATTTTTTGACTATCCACTGATGGAAACAGAGTGCTTGGCCCTTTACCTTTTATATCACCCACATGGCATCAAATGAAATATACTCAGTATTTGTGGCTGTTTGTTTATCTGTAATATGTAGAGGGAGTGAAGATAAATTCATTTAGAATATATATATTGTATTCAATATATATACTGAAAAGAGAGGAAGAGATAGAGAGAGAAACATCAATGTGAGCGAAATATCGATCGGTTGCCTCCCGTACATGCCCTGACTGGGGATCGAACCCATCACATTTTGGTATACAGGATGATGCTCGACCAACTCATCCACACCAGCCAGGGCCATTTAGAATAAAAATCTTTGGGACTAAAATCTAAATTTTGTTTATTTTATAAAAATAAATTAGATTACTTTTCTGAACTGCATTTAGAAATTTTGTATCAGGTAAAAACTATGAAAGATTACATTTGAGTATCAATACCATAGTGTCATTTAATTCAAAAGAATGATGGAGGATTGAGAGAATATATTTAAACTGGACAGATACAAAGAATGGGAACTAAATATTTCAGGTTGTATGTTCCTTGTTAACCTTCAGCCACCCTTGAATTAACGTGTAACAGTGATAGGAACACTGTAGGAAGAAAGGTCTCGTCAGTTTCCCGGTGTGATGAGCAGACCTGTTTCTACCATCAGTTCCTTATGGTTCTGCCTACTTGGACTCTTCCTTAGCACCTACCACCACTTAGAAGTTTTCTTGCTCTGTCAGACTCTGGCCACTCCTATTTTTCTAGCTACATTTCAATTACCTAAGACAATAGAAATATCAAATCACAATGAAAATTCTTCACTCTGTTTTTCCCTCGGAGCTTTTGAATAGTGTTCTTAAAATATTAACTAGATGGAACCATTTTCAACTAATGAATTGTTAAGGTTGTTAAATCATATTTACTTTCTCCTTTATTATTTAAAATTCATGATAAATTAGATCTACTAGTCTGAGAAGGCACTGGTGAAGGGCTGAAGAGATAAACTAAGTGAGAGGACTGATGTCCTCAATATGGGAAACTATTTGGCCTGTTCCAGCCTGAATCCTCCTCTGTGAAACCAGGCTCAAAAATGTTGGGTCCCAGAGATAAAACTATTGATAACTGCTTAGGTGAGAAGGAAGAGATTTCATTTAAGGGAATTAATAATAAATATCACTGATACACAGTTCTGATATTCTATAGATCAGAAAAATTTCTGTGGTAAAATTCTAGTGGAAAATACTAAGATTCTCCTCCTCTCAAAGGCTCTTAAGGGGATGTCCCCGTCTTTGGGAACATAACCTATCTGTTGGACTTAGGACTTTTGATGAAGTTTTGTGTCTATCTATGGTGCAACAATTATTGATTTCTTTGCTGTTTTTATAAATTTCAGTGTATCTGTATCTTTCTGAAAGCAGTTTTAATCCTACTGTGAAATTCTCATTTTAGAAAATGTGAGATGCTATAAAGGTACAGCTTCTTAATGTAGGCTTTGTGGACGATTGAGGAATTGAAGGATGGCTCCAAGGTTTCTGGGAACTGCTGGCAAGTGTTCAAAGTCGGCTGAGAGTGCAACATGCACCTTCTGGCAAGTGGGAGACAGAACCTCTCTTAGTCTCCAAGAGTGACCCCAAACTTTTCTGAACCATCATAGTAAGGATTGCTTGTTAAATTTTCAGCTATTCAGTTTCATTGTTAAAAATATACAGGCGCCCTTCAGATTTATTGTGGGTTTGGTTCCAGACCACTGCAGTAAAGCAAGTATCACAATAAAGCGAGTCATAATTTTTTCACCGGTGGAGGGTCTTGCCTTCAATTTGTAAAGAAAATGCAACATCTGTGAAGCTCAATAAAGCAAAGCACACAAAAAACGAGGTGTGCCTGTATGTTTGAAAAAGGATGAGGGGCACTTTATATAGCAGCCATGTTTATAATAAATTATGCTAGTACAAAATATGTTGCCAGTGATCTTCTTCCCCTGATCTTGATGGTACTTTTATTTGTACTTTACAATCCATCGATTTTTCCTAAATTGGATTTATAATCCCTCCCTTCTGTTAAAATGAGCTAATGAAGCTTGGCCTATTTAAAATAAGAATGCCATTCATGTACAGTGGTACCTTGGTTTTCGAATGTATTCTGTTCCGGAAGACTGTTTGAGTTCTGAAACATTTGAAAGCCGAGGGATCAACAGCCGACAGGTGGGCCTCAGGATCTTGCACTCAGCGGAAGCCACGTGGCATATTCCACTTCGAGGCATGTTCGAAAACCGAAGTGTAATTCCAGGTTTACGGCGTTCGTAAACTGAAATGTTCGTCAACGGAGACTTTCAAAAACTGAGGTACCACTGTATTTATTTGAGGTGGCATATAAAGTAGAACTTTTAAATCTTATTCTGACTTCCTCTGGCGGCCTCATTTCGCCAAGGGAGCAGTTTAGTTCCAGTGTCCATGAGGGTCACGTGTGACCAGAACTGACAGCAGGCCTGGACTCCAACTCTTCTACCTCAGTCCAATCTTCTTTTAGAATATGATTGATGCTCAAGAAGAAACATAGATAAATTTTTTTTTTCTTTTCTGACATATAGAATGTCAATTTAGAACCCTAACAAGTTCAATCTTAAATACAATCTGCTTTTTTCACTGGATTAATAAAATCACTGTTTCATAACTGTCCAAATGATTGGAGTTTAAATTGTCCCTGTTTGGGAACTTCTTTGAAAAGCATTGCAAAGCACATCATTTTTATGTTATTTACGGATAAAAACAGTTGATACCTCTTTAAAAGTACACTTGGCTTTTAGAATTATATTTCCGTAATTACTGAAACAACTGAATCTGAGTTTTTATATTTGGGGAGAAGATTACTAAAAAAGGCAAAGGAGCCATCCCTTCACTTTGGGAAACTGGTGGGATGTGAGGACTTAGTTGAAGAACTCACCCCATGCCTCTTGCCAGCCTGCAGAATCCTGACTTACAGGACCAGCTGGGGTCCCCATGTGTTCCCTGCATGCCCCTCCACCCACCCTTCTGCCCTCTACCCAGCACAGGCTGTACTCCATGCTTCCCCAATAGACTTCAGGTTCCTGTCTTGTAGCTGGGAGATTTCAGCCACTAGAGGGCCCCAGATTTATGTAAGAATTAAGGTTGGAGGTGTCATTCCCCTTTGATCCTCCTTTTCTGATCTCTGGTTTGTCCTCATTTGAAAGGCATGTTACACTCCTCCAGCCTGCAGATTAGCCAAGGCCATTGTAAATACTAACCAGTGCCATTCAGCCCTGTTTGAAATCTATGCGGGTCCAGTGATTCTCTGAAATGCAAGGACATTTTTAAAGAGGGAAGAAAACATGTTGAAGATTAAGGGCACATGGTTTGCCTCTCCCATATTTGACCCAGCCCTGACTTCTGTGAGCCTGCAGAACTTGTTCTAATCAGGCAGGGCTGTCAGGTCAGTGCCCCTGAAACAGCCACTCAGGCCAGTATTCTTGGTTGAAAAAGTGTGGGCTGTGGCAAGCACATGTCCTGGTGGCCCCAGCCAAGCCTTGGGGTTAATAGGCTAGTGCAGTGCCACTCACTGGGTTCTTAGCCTCAGACTAAGCAGATACCCAGGCTCTCAACATCACAGCCCTGCAAATAGCACTTGGGCTTGGCAGATGGTAAAAGTGCTGACAGTTGTTTGAATTGCATAGGCTGTAATTTATGTCATGTGTAAGACCAGACGTTTAGCTCCTCAGCGCTCTCCAGCTCTCCAGTACATGGTGGTCTGTGGTGAGTCAGGAGGGTCGTGAGACTGCAGGAGGCAAGAACACATTTGGAAAGGTCTTATGGAACACCAAGTAGAAAATCTAAAAAGACAGGGCTAATACATTAAAGTTTCACTGTATGTTATTTTTAAGCTACCCATCATTTGCACTCCATAGGCTAGGGCTGGGTCCAAGTACCATGTGGGCTCAATTGAACCACAGTTTCTTCCATACTATTTTGGTTACTCTGTAGTCTTTGGAAGTCCCTGATGATGGTCCCGCCAGCACATCCTAAAGCAAAATTTCAGGTTCTTGGAATGGAAGAATCCTTGAAGGCCAACCCAGGATGAGGGGGTGGGGAGAACATTGTAAGAAAGCCAGAGTACTATGTTGCTCCTGAAACCTTAGGGCAAACATATGTCTAGTCAGCCCATGCACTAATGTTGTGAAGCAAGCCTGGCTAGAGACAGCACATGCCTGGGTTGGAGCCACATCTCCCTGTCCCACTGACAAACAGCGTGGCTCCTGTCAACTAAATCCTGGGCCTGCATGCCTTGTTCCTCATCTGTCAGATTGGGTATAACAATATTTAGTTTCTTAGAGGTTGCTGTGCAGATCAGCAGAGTGTAAGGTAGACTATAAAGTGATTAAAGATTCCACAATTTGTTTTTCTAAGTCCGTTTTTTTAACCCTCAAATCAGCCACCAAATGATGGTCAAACATCATTGATTATAGAATTTAAGGCTTAATCGATTATTGAGCCAAATGGAGGCTCTCTTAGTAAGATTCTGGCTTCAATTTCCAAAGTATGTGTATTTCCCCCCATAGCCAAGCAATTCTGACACCAACTGGGTATCCTACAATTCAACTCGATTTTGACACTATCTACCTGGAGTTAGCATCAGATCCCACAGGTTAAAACTCAGTCCTACAAGACCACCTCCCACCCCTACTTCAGATGCCAGTTGCAAGTCCAGGTTGTTACTTGTACTTTTTACTTACTGGCTATAAATCAGAGGTTCCCATGACCCCCTCCTTGGGTTTGATTAATTTGCTAGAGCAGCTCATAGAACTCAGAGAAACATTCGCTTACTAGATCACTGGTTTATTATAAAAGCACATAACTCAGGAACAGCCAGATGGAAGAGATGTGTAGGGCAAGGTATGTGGGAAGGGGCATAGAGCTTCCCCATCCTCTCCAAGCACACCACTCTCCTCAAATCTCCATGTTCCACCAACTCAAGAGCTCTCTAAACCCTGGCCTTTTGGGTTCTAATGAAGGCTTCATTACATAAGTTCAGTTGCAAATAACCAATGATTTAATCAGTCTTCAGCCTCTCTCCCCTCTTGAGAAGTCAGGGGGTAGAGCTGAAAGTTTCAACCTTCTAATCACATGGTTGGTTTTCCTGGCACCAGCCCCCATCCTTAGGTGCTTCCCAAAAGTCACGTCATTAATAATAAAAGATACTTCATGGCTCTCATCACTTAGGAAATTCCAGGAGTTTTAGGAGTTCTATGCCAGAAACAGGTACAAAGACAAAATATGTATTTCTTGTTATAAATCACAATATCACAGATAGTTAAGGTGGCATTATACCAGTTTTATAGAATGGTCATTTGAGGTCTTATCTACTGTCATGTAGCAGAAAGGAAGACAAAGGAAGGGAAAGGAAGAGATTGGGGAAAGGATTGTCCAGGATCTGAAGCTCCCGCCCTCTTTAGGGGATTCTTTTCTTTATGGCCTACTTTCCATTATTTGACTGAACAAATGGACAAGTATAAGGTGTGATTCTGTATGAATCTGTAAATGCAAATGGATTCTTAAGTATGGCAAAATTTTGTTTGTTTGTTTAACAAAAGTTTTATCATGGAGTATCATATATTTCATCCCATCCCCAATTCAAATATTTAATGGAATCAGTAAACTCAATTGAAGGGTCCCTTGAGACCATCCAGTCCAGTTCCCAAAATGACCAATAAGGAAAGGAGAAGGGACTACTTAACCAGAGTTAATGGCCAGACTAGACCTGGTGTGCTATTTGTGGACATGTGTTAAGATGTTTGAAAGGCACAGCCCAGCAGCCTGGGCAGAGAGGTCAATGGAGTCTAATCATTTTTCCCTCAATTTTTAAGGTGTTTGAATATCAGCTCAGATGAGCTTAATGATGACCACTTTTTTGCCTTTTATCTTTCCCATGTTTGTTCAACTTAAATGCCTAAGTATTCTTCATTCATTATAGCAGAGTTAGCTGAAACAGCCTCATGTTCACGAAAATAACCTTTCACAGGTTATAACATCCAAGCAGCTTTATATCAAGTCATGCTATAGTTGAACTAAAGTAGGTTAGGTAAAAATCTCAATTAATTAGATTCTTTTTTTGTGTATACCTTTCCCCTGAGAAAAGTTCAAGTAATTTTTAAAGTGGGTTTGTAGAGAAGTTTCTGTATTAAGAAGATAGATTGGAAAGACCAAGTTTATTTGGAGGAAAAAAACACAGCTTAGAATTCAGGAAGAGAAACAGTCTTAAACATCATCTTTCCCCTGTAATTGAAATATATGATATTAAGAGAGTATCAGTGTTTTATAGCTTTAAGTTTTTAAACCTATTTCTGCTGTATTTTCTGCAAGTAAATTACTATCTAGCATTAGTCATTAAATGTTGTTTTATCAAGCGGCCAGAAGGGGTCACTAGCAGTCACTTTTCTCTGGAGATCCTGCTCAGCCCAAGGACTAGGAAAGAACACAGCTATTAGTGGAATGATGATGCAGTTTTTATCTGGCAAGTCAGATTTCAGCTCTGCATTTCAATCAATTTTAAAATCTTTGGGGCCATCTTAGAAAGGTAGCTCTTATATTATTTTTCTAGACATACTTAGAATAAATGAAATTCAGAAAGATTAAAATTAGGTAACTGTGGTCATTTAGTGGCCAAAGACTTGTAACTTACCTACGTTATGGCTTTATTTACAAGTAAGAGTTTGGTGCTGAACTCTTCAGTTGATATGTTTTCCCCTTAGATTAGCGCTGCTGAAGAAGAGTGGGGAGGAAGATTGGAAAAATAGACTTACCAGAAAGCAGGAGTACAGCAAAGCAACTGTTATGAGCAGCCTGCACACACAAGAAGTGGAACAGTCGCTCAAGAAGAAGGTAAAGTTTTCCATGTTAGAGAAAGTGCTCTAACTGACGTCACACTCAGAAGTGTATCAAACAGGCATGCATGACTTCACTAATCACTGCTCTGAGAGGTGCTAGCACTTCTTTGCTCTTTGAGTTCACACTTAAAGTCTGTCTCACAGCAGCTTCAGATGATCGAAAGGTAACGTCTTGAGATGTCATGGAACTGGTAACAGCACCACCTGCATGATATATCAGCAAACAAGTTCCTAGATTCTAAAGTGTGTACTTTTACTTTGGTTTAAAACCTTCTTAAATGAAGTCTGACTTTGCAATGTTATTAAAGTCTTTATAATGAAAAACTTTAATAGGCCACTAACACTTTATACGTTGTCTATAAAGTGTGGACTTAAATGTCCTATACTGAGATTTAAAACCTGAGTATACAAAATAAGGACATAATTTTTGTGGCCAGTGAGACCTTATTTAATAATTGTAAGCATATTTCACATTGAGCAGTTGGCTTTTTATTCAGAATATACAGGAAAATATGTTACAAGCTTAAATAAAATTAAGTAACACATTGTTATCATTACCAGCAAGGATTTCATATATAAAAGTATTGATGAGTTGTTAAATTACTAATGTAATTATGACCAGCTTTTGGCCAGTTAGTGCACACTTGCAAAACAAATGGTGACTTTCCTGCTGCTTAACCTGGTGATTGCAAATGCACCTGCTAGCTGGAGGCAAGGGGAACACCTGGGACAGACACATCCACAGGCCAACTTCTAGCATCAAGTCTTCAAACAGAAAAGAAAAAAACTTTCTACCAGATGATCATCTTCTAGCTCTAAAACAACTTAAGCATCTGTAAAAGAAAGAACTTATCAATGTGACCTTTATGTAGTAAGAAACTTACACAAAAAGTGTGCACATAGAATTGTGAGGCAGGAGTTCTGACATTATTTTATGTAGTATTTCTATGTCTTTATAGGTTAAATTGGAACAGCAGTCTGAATTATCTCTTTTGAAACACACTTGATATTAATGATAATGACTGAAAACATTTAATTCTCAGTCATTAGTAAATTTCTCAAATATAATCACGTGATTTTTGGATTGCATAGTTTTGAAGTTTGGATTTTAAGAAAGAGATCCTGAAGTGAAGAAAATTAGGTCCTTCAACTAGGTCCTATTGCCCACAAGCTTTATTTTAAAAAGTCTTGAAATCGCTGGTTCAAAAATAACTTTATATATATAACTTTATATAATAACTTAACACTTATATCTTGTTGGTCATTTTGGAAGATGCAAAGAAGCCTTAGAAGATGGCAGTCCCATATGGCCAGGTGAAAATTCAAATAAAGCTACAAAACACAAAGCTGGATAGATTCTTCACAAATAGTGGAATGAGATAAGTTATCTACCTGCTTAGAAGACAGGTCTTTGAGGCTCTGAAAACCAGAGATTATGAGCAGAGGATGTGATCTGAACTACCTGAACACTTGGCTAAGGGTTTTAGAAGTCAAAAGATGGGAGAAGGTGACTACAGTTGCCCGGGCGGGGAGGGGGTGTGTGGAAAGTGCAGTCAACTGAAGCACTGAGGCTCTGAGCGTGACTGGGCTTGAGTGTGAAATGCTCTGGGCTAATGAAAGCTGCACATTCTGCAGCAATAGTGAGCTCCCTCCTCCACTTCTCCTCAGTGACCTAGTTCACTTTGGCCTAAGACAATCAGCTCTTTGAAGTTAAAATAAGCCAATCTATTTTAGGCTTGCATAGCAGACAGTGGGATATCTCAAGTTCTGTAGAGGTCAAGTGGGTTTCACATGGCCTCTGATAAGCCCTTGGCTTGATTTCTCCCCAAGGGCTAGCAGTATATTCCTGTCACACCTTCCCTGTGTTCAGATGTGAGGTGCCTTAAACCTGATCTGTCTTAAGACAGTCCTCAGACAGCTGAAGAGTGCTTGAGAAACACCACTGCTTACTGGGTGTCTGAATGCTGCCCTGGAGAGCAAGGACAGTAACGACATGTGGTGCATGCAGGTGGGACCTCGCTGCATGGGCTAGATCTAGCCTTACTGGTGGAAAGCTGCTCAGGGGAGCGAACACCAGGACCTTTGTCTTTTCCACCAAGGTGGAAAGGGGCTCGTTTTACAGCCAGGTCATCGCTTCCTGCACAATTTCTGAATTCATCAAACAGCACATAGTCATGGTTACTGCACATTTTACAGTTTGTCCCCTCAAGCTTTTGTGTGCAGTAAACCTACTCCCATGAGTGGCCCGTGGGAACACAGAGGAAGCAGGAAGTAGAGACGGGACTCTGTAAATCATTTCCACTGCCCCTGTGAAAATCCTTGCTGTCCAACAAAAATAGTAATTTTATGCTGTCTAGTAACCACATCAAAAATGTAAACATTGCCTTAAAAATCTATAACTGTTTTGTTTCTGTCAATGTGTTTGTTCCAAAACAAAACAAATCTGTGGTGCAGTAACCAGCATCTCATTTGGGGGCCTATAGGGTAAGAAAATATTCTTTTGGCCCATGGATAGATTTGGGGAACTAAATTTTCCTTTTCTTACTAGAAGATCAGTAATTTCTCAGAGAATATATAACTTAACAGGAGTTCCTTGCTTTCCAAATCTGTCCCCCAAAATCAGGATTGATAAACTGGAACACTAATCATTTACTGAGCTGACTCTGTTGTTTCCTATGACTAAGAGTTCCAGTTCCTTCTCTCTCCTCCCTATCTCTCTCCCTTGGCACCTTTCTTTCTCCTGTTCTTGGCTTAGTCTAGGGCAGTGCTAATCTGATTTAAATGTTTTTCCTTTTGTATCACATATAATTAGTTCTAAAGACTGTAAAGCCATTTGGTTTGTCGATCCGGCCTGGTCCATGGCATGTGGAATGTGTGCACTCGAGCACGACCTATGGAAGTTTCCAGCAGAGTAACTCATTCTATCAAAGGAGTGAATGCAATGAAACAAAGTGACATTTTAAAGAAGTGATTTGGTAGAAGTCTCTTTGTACAACTACATCGCAGTTACTTATTTTCACCAAATTATTTGAAATTCCAACCCCGTGTTGGTATATTGGACATTAAGGCACAGATAGTGAATCCCATGCCCCTTTGTTAAGATAATCACTGGGGATATCATACTTTTCTAGGAAATAAAAACCCTGTATAGAGTTTGCCATTACAAACAGTCTTGTGTCTTCTTCTGGGTCACAAATTAGGAGTTGATATTTGCTGTCCTTCAGTAAGATCAGGTCAGTGAATCAAGCTAAGACCTATGATGTCCCCGGAACAAGTCTGAAAATTCAGGGAAGGTAAATCTGCTACATGCGTGTTTTCATTCCCTGCTGTCACTGAAATTCCAAATCACAATTTAAGAGTGAAGTCAATTTAAAGGGCAAGGAGAGGAGGAAAAAAGAGGCCCACATTAAAGTTTAGCATTGCTGATGGGGTGAGCTCACCTGAAGTCTGTGCCGCCTGCCTGTGTGAGCACATGCATGCCTCTGACTGAACCCAGGCACAAAGTCCTGGACTATGACTGCCACACCTTAACTCTTGACCCAGCTCTCCCGACACTGCAATGTTACCTGTTTGTTTTAACCTGTAGGAAGAAGGAGGATTTACAGATGATAGTACCATTTCTAATCTGCTTTGGGTAAGCCTGACTCTAACACAGGTGTCTCTAGAGCACAGCCAGTTACGCCCTCCAGCTGTAATTTTCATAGGCACGGTCCCCTTTGTGCCCACCCTGTTTGGTTTCTTAGCCGGAGGCAAGATGTCACCTTTATCTTGAGTGGGGAGGTATCTTATGTCCTTAATTTTTTTAATCATGTAATGAAAAAACTTTAAAGAGGATATTTTGTGGTAAATGTTAAAATTGTCAATGAAACTCATGGTTCTCTTTCTGTAACTGAGTATCTTCTATAAATTATAGTAATCTTGCCTTTAATTCATTTAATTACTACACAGAGCTGACTAGGGTATACTTACTGTGCTTGTGTGGATTTATTTAAACATTGTAAAAAAAAAAAAAAGAACAAATGGGAAGGACTCTTTTGAAAAGATAACTGAAATTGCAATGAGAAATTAACATTCTGTTAGAGAAATCATTGTTTTTGTCTCTCCCCCCCCATCCCGCTCTGATAAATCTCTTCTCACCTCTAATCCTCTCCCTTTGCTCTATAGGAACCTGTATATGCTTCTACTTATTCTCCTGCTATACCTGCTGCCCATAAACACCTGTCTTTTGTACCTATTAATCAGGTGAGGAAAAGCCTATACATATTAAGCCTCATTGCAATTTCTGAGCAGTAAGAAGCTTGTTTCATTTAGGGAAATAACTCCTTCACTGCATTTGTGTGTGTGTGTGTGTGTGTGTGTGTGTGTGTGTGTGTGTGTGAGATCAGTTCATGTATTTAGTCATCACATCCTTGGCTCAGACTTTCAGGTAGACCTGATGATATTGATTCACTTCATAATCATGAAACTGGTTTAAGAAATGCTCCAGAGAGTTCCTTGCTCCAGCTCAGCAATGATGCCATCTTGCTTAGCTTGATGAACAAGGATATGGTGGAGGCAGTGTGGGGTGTGGAAGGGACAGGGAGGGAGGGGCCAGTGTGGCTTGCGCTGGTGGTAATGGCTCTATTGAAATGAGAAAGCAAAGCCTCCTGCCCCCTACCCTCCATACCCCATCTGAACCCCACCCCAAGGGGAGACCTAGCCTGGGCTGAAGGTTTCCATTGGTACATAATGTGGGATAATTTTTAAAGCTAAAAATATCCCATGATGTTTTTAATTTAAAAAAATTTTAATGTTGACACTATTGCAGGAGTCTCCCTCCCCCTACCCCTTCACTTCCATGATTGTTTCTTATTCACCTTGGAGTATCCCTGGTGTCAGAAGAGCTATGAAGAGAGGCTGCATCTACTTTGCCATGAACCCCACATTCTCCTCTCCCTTTGTCTATGGGACCTGGCCCAGTCTGTCACTCTGCTTTTGGGGCCTTTGTCTCCTCAGCAGGACTGGGACTTTATTTGCTTTTAAGGTGGCCTCTACTAAAAATTTCATGACTATATTGTCCCCTTAGGACTGGTGGTGACAAAACAGATGTTTGAGTGTAAAGTGCAGGAATTCAAATATGAAATCTATAGAGTGCTGCCAGAGAGAGGTGTCTGGGGGTCCTCCTGTCTGCATCTTCACACACGGAAATTCCCCATTTCTACTCCCAGAGGTGGACTTTTCCCCTCACTCCCCTTGGTTCCTTTCCTCTGGAGTTAGGCATGCTGGTCTGTGAGCCCCGCTTTACATAGCCAGTCAGTTCCACCCAAAAAAGAGGCTAAAACTGGAGCAAACTTTCTGTTCCATCACTAAGGGGGCACATGAGTTGTTTTTTCTAAATAAGTCAACTTTAAATTAAAAGATGTATTATTGAACTCCTTAAATATAAAACATATATATTACATACATATATACTTTTTTAACAGACTGTTTTTTAAAGAAATTTTAGGTTCACAGCAAAATTGAGTGAAAAGTACAGAGAGTTCCCCATGTACCCACCACACACATAGCCTTTCCCACTATCAGCATCCCCATCAGTACATTTGTTACAATTGATGAACCTACATTGACATCATTATCACCCAAAGTCCATAGTTTACATTTGGGTTCATTCTTGGTGTTGTACATTCTATGGGCTTGGAGAAATGTGTAATGACTTGTAGCTATCATTATAATATAAAGAATAGTTTCAGGGCCCTAAAAATCCTCTGTGGTCTGCCTGTTCATCCCTGTCTCCCCGAACTCCCAATCCTTGACAGTTACTGATCTTTTTACTGTCTTCGTAGTTTTGCTTTTTTCTGAATGTTGCATAGTTGGAATCATACAGTATGCAACCTTTTCAGATTAGCTTTTTTTACTCAGTAATATGCACTTAAGGTTCCCCCATGTCTTTTCATTACTTGATAGCTCATTTCTTTTTAGTGCTGAATAATAGCCCTTGTCTGGATGTAACACAATTTTCTCATCCATTTACCTATCAAAGGGCTTTCTTGTTTCTGCAGTTATGAAAAAAGCTTCAACAAATATCCATATACAGGTTTTTTTGTATGTAGCTATAAGTTTTTCAACTCCTTTGGGTATTAATGAGCCGATTACTGGATCATATGGTAGGAGGATGTTTAATTTTGTAAGAAACTGCCGAACTGTCTTTCAAAGTGGCTATTTATAGTCCCACCAGCAATGAATGAGAGTTTCTGTTGCTCCACATCTTCATCAGCATTTGGTGGTATCAGTGTTTTGGAATTCTGCTGTTCTATTAGGTGTGTAGCAGTATCACATCATTTTAAATTGCATTTCCCTGATGGCATATGACGTGGAGCATCTTTTCATGTGCTTATTTGCCATCATTTGGATGACGTCCTTTATCAGATGTGTCTTTTGCAAGTATTTTCCCCCAGTCTGTGGCTTGTCTTCTCATTCTCTTGAAGTGTTTTTTACAGAGCAGAAGTTCAGCTTATCGATTAATCATTTCATTCATCACGACTACAGTGTTGTATATAAAAAGTCATCACTGAACTCAGGGTCATTTAGACTTTCTATGTTATTTTCTTCGAATTTTGTAGTTTTGTGTTTTACATTTAGGTTTAGGATACATTTTGAGTTAATTTTTGAAAGGTGTAATATTTGTATCTAGATTATTTTCTTCATTGTAGATGACCAATTTTTCCATTTGTTGAAAAGACAATCTTTTTCTCCACTGTATTGCTTTTGCTCCTTTGTCAAATATTAGTTGAGTATATTTGTGTGGGTCTCTTTCTGGCCTTTGTATTCTCTTCCATGTATCTATTTGTCTGCTTTTTCACCCACGCTGTTTTGATTATTACTGTATTTTTATAGTAAGTCCTTAAGCCAGGTAGTGTCAGTCCTCTGACTTTGTTCTCCTTCAGTGCTGTGTTGGGTCTTTTGCTTCTCCATGTAAACTTTAGAATCAGTTCATCAATCCATATGTACAAAACAACTTGCTGGGAATTTGATTGGAATTGTATCATATCTCTAGATCAAGTTGGAAAAAACTGACATCTTAACAATATTGCATCTTCCTATCCATGAACGTGGAATATTTCTCGATATATTTTTAAGTTTAAAAAAATATATTTACCAGAGGCAACCTATGTTTTATCACTTGAAAATTAAAATGTCTTAAAACTTCTATATTTTTACTTCTTGACAGTCTTCCCAGATAAATATTTTATATACCCGTTATGTGGCACTAGCTTGTCAGTGTTCCAGAGGTCAGGAGACTCCTTTCTTCAGCAATCCTGGTGTCAAAATTCAATATGACGCAAAGGCTCAGAGGAGAAAACAGAACACTTTAACAAAACATATGCGGCATCTAATGGGTGGTTTGTCTCTGTCAAGCTTCAGCACACAGTTTCTTCTTCCTCATATGCCTCAGGGCTGGACCAGAATAAGATTTTCTGCCCTGGCCATCATTGCTCAGTGGTTAGAGCGCCGGCCCAGGCACCAAAGGGTTGTGGGTTTCAATTCCTGGTCAAGGGCATGTACCTGGATTGCAGGTTCAATCTCTGGTCCCAGTCTGGGCACATTGGGGCGGCAACCAATCAATGTGTCTTTTCTCACATCGATGTTTCTCTCTCACCTCCTCCCTCCCCCCTTCCACTCTCTCTAGAAAATCAGTTGAAAAAAATATTCTCGGGTGAGAATTAACAGCAAGAAAAAGATTTTCCTTAATTCCCCTCTTCTTGTTTTAGGAGCTGGTGGCTGACTACAAGACCAGATTATGGTTACTTTGAGGTCTGCACAGTGTTGATATCTTTTTCATGTTTTGTTCAGGCCACTTGAGGCTACATGCCCTGATGAAATCACTTGGGCAAAGCTAATTTATTTAACAGTGCACAGAATTTTAAATGGTGATAGCATTTTTGAAAACTTGAGAAATACTGATTTGTTACTTTACCTTATTTCTGTTACTTAACATGTTCTTCGATCACTTCTTTCTATAATTTAGTTTAACTAGATGTGAATAAGATAAAAATTTAAAAGCTACACATCAATATTTTCCACCCATAAAGCTCTCCAACTGTGGGAGAATTTTAGCCTTAAATCTGCACTAATCCTAGTAATACAGGTTAGTTTCACTCTCCCTGTAGCAGCTCCCTGTGTCAGAAGCATGTGGTGAGATTTGCACTATAATTTCTCAGGACAGTTGACCCTTGAACAACGTGGTGGTTAGGAGCACCAACCCCCCACCCTGCACAGCTGAAAATCCACACATAGCTTTTGACTACTAGTAGCCTTCAGCTGACCAGAAACCTTATGGATAAAATTTAACTCATTTAACACATTTTGTATGTTATACCTATTCTTACAATAAAGTAAACTAGGGAAAAGAAAATGTTATTAAGAAAAATCAAAAGGAAGAGGAAATACATTTACAGTATTTGTTAAAAAACAAAAAATCACATGTAAATGGGCCCACATAGTTCAAACCCATGATGTTCAAGAGGCAGCTGCAAGCGTGTGGAGGCAAACCCGTCAGTACCAGCGTGGCAGCCTGAAAGCCTTCTTGCTGGATGACCCTTTGCACAGTTTCAAGCTGTGCTCTGCCAAGTCTCTGGCCATCCCTAAGACCATCCTTCTTCTCTGTTGTTTCACTGCCTTTTACACACACGTTTCCTCCCCTCTCCCTCTCCATCTCTCCACACCTCCTTCATGGAATCTGTGTTGGAAAGAGTAAAGGACAGGTTGGGTAGGACTTCTATTTATATTCTCACCACTCTCTCTTACTGTTCCTGTCAACCCTAAATATCATTGACTAGACCTTGATTAACCTGGAAAAATGATCCAATTCTTATCACAGTATGTATTATGGCCTTTTCTAAATGAGGAAGAAAAACTTAGAAGGTTAAAACAGTGCAATAATGAAGTCTTAAGTTAAAAATATAAAAGTAAATGGACAAAGATGTCCATCTTATTTGTTTTAACATTTTGAATTCTATAATTTAATAACAACTTGGGACAAATTTGTATTAGATTCTCCAGTGAATAAATAAGCTATATATTTCTTACCTCATTGTACAGCCATGTAAAGTGAGAGAGCAGGAATTAGTGGGCCCTAAACCAACCTCACTAAGTAGCAAAGTTAAGATGAAACTTTTAGAGACACAAAAACTTTTATGTGTAATATTATCATTTAGAGGGGAGTGAAAAATATGCCTTCTTAACTCAGACCTGCGAAATTACTGGAAACTTTAAACCCTAAAATAGCTGTATCATTGCAAGTCTCCTATGTGTCATATTCTCGCAGGAGCTCTGGGGGAATCTGAGTGCTTTGGGGAATGGCACTGCTGATTCGGGGATACCAATTTTCTGAGTCATTAACCACACCCCACTACCACACCCAGGACTTTGAAGATGCTACTGAGTTTACTTCAGAAACAGTGATGCCTGGATCCTTGGAAAAGCCAACCTTCTTGGCACTTTATGTTTTTTTCAAAATATTTTAAGCCAAGTGCTATATCGATTTAATTAAAATTCACTCCTGAAACTTCATTTTCAAAGAAAACTTATTCTCTTTAATGAATTTTGATGAAGTCCTCCTGGCAAGTCAACAGCATAGTTTATTTAAGAAGGTTATGTGATTCACAGAGTTACTTGGAATTAGGGTCATTTCAACAATTGCAAGCAGGAAAGTTAAGAAAAAGGATTTTTAACACTTTTGATAATTCTTTATTTTGAGGAAATTTAAAACGTATAGAAAAGTCATCATAATAGACAGGGTACTCTCATATATCTTTTACCAGATCCATTTCTTGACATTTGCTCCCTCCCTGACTCCTCTCCCCCTTCCTCCCTCCATCCCCCACTCCAGTGCTGGCTTGCTGCTTTCCCCTTATCATGTATTAGATCACCTCCCAAAACCATCACATTAGGGATTAGTTTTCAGCCAATGAATACTGGGGGTGGAGGAGCACACGTTCATTCTATGGCACACTTCCATAACCATAATACAATCATCAAGATGAGGAAATTTCACATAGATAGAATGTTTAGTCCATGGTTCATATTTCAATTGTGTCAATTTCTCCCTAATGATGTCCCTTTTAGCCTCACCCACCCCATTTAGGATTCAGGCCAGGATCATGCATTGTATTTTGTTATCCTGTGTCTTTAGGAAAAGGTTTTAACCTAATTTAAATTACTGAGGATCTTAGAACCAGTTCTGGCAATGATTGCTCTGTGGAAGAATTCTCTAAAAGGAAGACTCTTAAATGAGACAATGGAGGAATCCATATTCATGGCTTGAACCAGCTGGTACCAGTGCACACATGGTTTTATGTTGCTGGGAAGGAGGGAAAGACTCGTCTCCTGTATTGCCCTCCATCATTTCAGAGCTTTAAGAAGCCCTCTCAACAAATCTGGGGGTTATTTCCTGTTGGTCAGTTAAGGGAAGCTGATTTGCCACGGTGGGTGGAGTTGTGGAAGAAGAATCAGGGCATATTTCCCCTCAGGGCTCTCTTGGTGCTCCCACTGTGTCAGTGGAAGCCTGGCCCTCACTTTGATCTGTGCTATTCAAAGGGAAAAATCCTTATGAGGGACCAGGAGCTGGGGAAACTGCCAGAAGCAGTTGAGAGCTCAACTAAGTTTGAAAGCAAATGCCTTAGCAGAAATGGCATTCCTTGGTCTAAGAAGACCCTGAGGTGAAAGCAAAAGCACAAACCCAGGGTGTCGGGCACCACCATCTTCAGGGCACCTCCTGGAATGACCTCCAGGTGGACAGCTCCTGCTCTGGGAGGACGCTGTCCTTTCTCCCGCCTCCATACTGGCTCCCGCAGCTCCTGCCCCTCTCCCTTGCTTCTCGCCTGGCCTGCTCCCCCTCCACCCAGAGGGTTTTGTAGTGAAAGGAGGCATGGAGTGAAGGAGGAGAGGAGGCAAACTCCATCCTGCCAACACTGGAAGGCCTCCCACCCTACTGCCATCACCCATCCACTTTCTCTGGCCACACCCCTTCTCCCCGGGCCCTGCGTGCCCTTAGCCCTGTCCTCTGCCTCCTTCCTGCTCCTCAGCCTCTCACCTCAGCCCCGACACCCTGATCTCCCCCTCCCGTCATGCTCCCTCAAGTCCCCTCCAGCTTCTTCCCTTGGGCCAAATGAGTCTCACCAATGGCTTAGAAAGTGAAGAGGCAGGTATGTCCAGAACCCCAATTAGAAATTTATAAAAAGCATTTTTTATGTAAAAATGTTATTATATATGTAGGTTATATCTGTAGCATAGTTCATCCTCCATGTCAGATATATTATGACTTAAAAGTTAGGACCTGGTTGCCTAGCTGCCCATATAATATAGTTGCTCTAGGAAAAAGCAGGTCAAGTTCCAGAAATCCTTCACAGCACACCTTACTCCTAATCGGCTTTCTCTACTTTATAACTGACCATGTTGCCTGTGTACTTAGTGGACAAGGTTTTCTAGATTGATAGTGTTTTTTGTGATATATATGTGAGTATAGTTATGTATATGTGTGATATATGTGTGTGTGTGTATATATATATATATGGATATGGATAAAATTTCCTTATCACCTAAGTTTGACCAGATAGGTAAAACAGACCAACTTTTTTTTAATCCTCACATGACGATATTTTTTCCATTGCTTTTTTTTTCAGAGAGAGTGGAAGGGAGTAGAGAAAGGGAGCGGGAGAGGGAGGGAGGAACATGGTGTGAGAGGGGCACTTTGATTTGTTGCCTCCTGCTCATTCACCAACCAGGGCCAGGGATCAAGCCTGCAGCCAAGGTACATGCCCTTTGCTGGAATCGAACCCAGGACCCTTCAGTCCATGAGCTGACACTCTAACCACTAACCACTGAGCCAAACCGGCTAGGGCAAAACAGACCAATTTTAAAAGCCTGTAAAGGTCATGGCATGAAGGCAGTCTCTATTTTTGTTTATTTTTACAAAGTATCATTCTGGTGTTCCAATTTTCCAAACAAATAGTAAAAACAACAACTAAGTTTTGATTTAAAGTTTCAGTATTGTTGATGTGATCTCTAACCTAAGCTGGAAGTAAGGAAGCCAAACCTACTTCAGTTATGGCCAGTTTTGGTCAGTGGAGTACTCCTCTTTGCCTGCTTTTCAGCTCAGGAGACGCTGCAGGCTAAAATTCACCTCTCCCTCATTTCCCTCTCCTATTTTCTCATTCGTACTTCTTAAACTCAGCAGGTCACAGAAAGTCGAGAGAGCCAAATGACTATCGAAGAGAGGAAGCACCTCATTACTGTGAGAGAGGAAGCGTGGAAGACAAAAGGCAAAGGAGCAGCTAACGACTCCACCCAGTTCACAGTGGCCGGGAGAATGGTGAAGAAAGGTCGGTGTGCGAGTGTGCGTGTGTGTACCCGTGTGCATGTGTGCGCACCTTCCATCACCCATGGAGGGGCAGGGGGCCGTGACAGCTCCATGAAAACAATCAAGCCATGATGTACTTTAGTTTTCAGTCTCACTGAAGTTGTGTAAATGGTTTGTAAGTAGGTTTTCTGAGATATTCCTGCTGAAAACTTTTTTTTTATACAGTGCATCATCTTCAACGTAAAAAGTGTAATTCAGTTAGTCACTTTTCAAAACTTAGCCATTTGGAAATTGAGCACAGGTTTCAAAAGTAATAGTTCTTTCCCATAATTGCTTTCAAGTTATTTCCATTTTCTTACCATCTGGCAATCAGTTAACCCAAATTAGCCTTTCTTAATGAGAAAGGAGTTTCCTTCTTCTCCCTTGCAGGGTAATTCCTAGGTCCCTTTCCATGAAGCCACAGTTCTGTGGCTTACAAAGCCTGATTTCCAGGTATGTTTTAATAGATGTTTAAAAGATATATCCAATTCAAGGAAGTGGGATTTCCCTGAAGACAGTCATTTCTCTGCATCTGAGCTCTTGCTACTGATTAGAAGCCTGAATGCAAAGATTTATGAAATTGAGGAATCACGTGGTTAGAAGAGTTGCCAGAGAGCTTCGAGCCTCCCCATCCTGCAGGAATGCTTAAAGTTTGGATCCCTTTGTCTCCTATATGCACATGCCTTCATTTTCTAAGCTATTACTTAAAAACAAATTTTCTGACTTAGTCATAAAGGTTTTCACATTCACTTAGAGTTAATTTATATTGCCATCAGCTCTTTTAGCTTTATCTTTTCCTCAAAATCTTTCAGGATCCTCCCTCATAGATGGTACATAACTCACTGTAGCCTCATAATAAATATTTGCAGAGGGAAGAGAAGGAGGGAAAACCCCCAAATTGTGATCAACTCAACTCTTGGTGGGATAGTCCTCTCTAACAAATTCTTAACTAATCTTGGAATTGTCAAAAGATACCAGCAGATAATTTATTCTCACAGAATGCGGTAGCATTTGAGTATCTTAACCTTATCACAGAACTTTATAATCATTTTAAACTACTGTGATGCGAGCCCCATCCTATGTTATCAAAAGCAGCTCCTTAAGGCCCACATTGGTCAGGAAGAATTAAAGCTGAGAACTTGAACCAGAGCCCACATCTTCCAACGTCTAGCCTAGACTTTTACCCTGATGACTTTTTATTTTGGTTTCTTTTTTCCTCTTCCATCTGAAAAATCACAATTTATTTTTAAGTGGGACCTTACTAAACCCCACTGCCCTTGTCCACAGCAATGTCAGAGGAAGGAGATTTGTTCTTATGTGGGTTTGGAGAGCAAGGTCCAAGAAGTTCCTGTGTCTTAGTGGATGAGTTTGCTGGATAACAGTTTCCTGAATAAGTCAGGGATCTTTATTTATAGCATCTTGTGCAGGTGCTGTATCTCTGGTTCAGGAAGTAATTTTCTTACACTTTTAACCTAATGAAAAAACAGTACCCTATTTTTCTACTATTTGTTACCACCCACTGGGTTATACATTTCACTTGCATCATCAGCTCTTTTTGATTTGCAGTAATATAGAATCCAGTTTATACTCACGGCAGAATAAAATAATCCCCTACACTACAGCCACTGAGACATCCCATTTCATCTGTTTACAATGGCACATTTTGCAGCTATCAGTTACTTCATATCAGTGAATTGCCAAGAGGCACACTGTACCCTCATTTTCATTCTCTCATGCCAGAAAACTCTACCATCCTCTAGCCTCATTAGGACTTTTTCCTTTTTTGATATTCCTAGAGTCTCTGTAACAATTAGCACTCCAAAAGGTTTCTGTGATATTCTGGTATTTTCCTGGAAGAAGTGTACTCAAAGTGTGCCTTTCACATAAATATATGTGAAAATGTTTTCGAAGAGAGTAGATAACTGGTTATTGCTTGTAGAAGTCATTGAAAAGATGTATGGGGAATGCTTTGTTTTAACATTGTGTAATTTAAATCTATCTGCCCTCCCCCATTGCAGAAAAATATCTACCTCTAGCTGGGAAAGAGGTGGCACACCTCTGCGTGCTGCGGCCTGAATGGGCAGCAGGGGGCACCCTGGCAGTATCGAGGGCCAGGTTTCCTGGTTGCCTGTTTACATATTAGCTTTAGGGTTAATGGCCTCTGTCCTAATGAACCTTTCCATGTCTCTCACACATGCTTTTAGTAGACAATAATTTACTACCCCAGCCTGTGATAACAAATTTTACCTATCTTTATTATCTTTCAAGAAAATTTACCTTCTCGCTGATGTAAGGTCTGTAACTAGAATAGATTTTGAAAATTTTATTGACATCATCAAGCAAATATATGTACATCTTGAGAACTTCTAGAATATCACCTAAGACTTAAGTTTTAAACTATATTTCAGTATTGTTTCTTAAAGTTTTTATGCTATAATACATCTTTCTCTAGCTCACAGGAGGAAGAAGCAGAAATTCATTTATTTTTCTTTGTGATAGTGGCTCACATCTTCTTCAGATGTTGTACTTTGAGGGATGCTTAAAGTGAGAATGTTATCTAAGGATTTCACATTTATTACAAATGAATACAAACAATGTTAACACCTCATTTTATCCTTTGTAAATGTACTAATTATTTCCCTTTCCCAATCCTTCTACTTAAGTTGGGTGGGGAAGTACCTACTTTTGTTTTTAATACAGTTTCCTGCTCTAACCAGATACCTTTTTTATGCTGGAGTTCCCTTCCTTCCCTTTCATATGTCCCTTACCATTTCTCCCTTTAAAGATTCCCCATCCTGCTTCTTGATAAATATATGAGAAAGCATATCACGGGTTCCCAGACACATCCAAGATGGATAAGCCCTTCCAAATGTGTACTCTTCTGACTTTTCTTCTACGAGGTTAGCACTCTTGAGTTCTTGCTCAGTAGAGCCACACTCCTCTGAGTGATGCTCCAAAGGCTAGACAGTCCCTACCTCACCTCAGCCTGAGAGGAAACTCCAGGGCTGGCAGCCACTTGCCCGAGTGTGACACAGCCCATTCCCCTCTTCCTGTGTGGGAGATGGTGCAAATAGACTTCCTCTTCAACTGTGTCCACCATCGCAAAGGGCCTTCAGAGCTTACACTCCATTTGTTCAAGTATATTCTGATAGCCTGCTGTACTTTCTTATTCCATTGAAGTGTTTTGGACATGTTTTTCTACATGACCTCATTGTTCATTTTGGAATGGCAACTTATCAGCTACTATAGTCCTTAGAAACAATCAGATTCTATCTACATGTGCAGATGTCTTACATAGTCATGGTACATGCCAAATGTACTTGTGTGTGTATAAATTCTATAAATTGTACAGTCTGCATCGGATATTAGAGAGGTCAAACAGAGAATTTCCAGAAATGACCCTGAGATACTAAATAGCTCCCTTGTTTGTTTCTGTAGGTTTGGCATCACCCACTGCTATAACACCAGTAGCATCCCCTATTTGCAGTAAAACAAGGGGCACGACACCCATTTCCAAACCTCTGGAAGGTGAGTAACCATAGCACCTGATATGCCAGGGGCTCTATGATAAGAAGAGTCTTCAGTGGTTCTCTCTCATTGGTGGTTTCTATTTGTCTAGATATCGAAGCCAGACCAGACATGCAGTTAGAATCAGACCTGAAGTTGGACAGGCTGGAAAGCTTTCTGAGAAGGCTGAATAACAAAGGTACGTGCCAGAGGCCAGAGGGAAGCTGTGGTTTATATACGCCATAGCACACTGTGATTTGTATTTCAGTGATTACCTAAGGAAACCTAAAAAGAACCTGTTCCTCTCTCAAAACCTCTAAATCCCAATTGTGATGTCTTTCTCCTCAGCTAAATTATCTTCTTTCTATATAACTGCACTGATTTATACTGTAAGCACTATTTTTGTTGTTGTCTTTTTAAAAATGAAGTTACTGGTCAAGTCTGATTGTATTACCAAGCCCTGATCCATTTGATAAGGCACTAAATTGACCACCCCCAAAACATTTTTTCTTAAATCTAAATCCTAAATCTGAATGTCATCCTATCAGAATCATGAGTTAATTTTGCTTTTAACCCTGAAAGCAGATTATTATACAAAATCAACATGACCTTGGCCCTGATGAACTTTAAATTGTATATGTCAATTTCCAACAAGGTAGCAGCTGATATATCTTATAATCACAATTTCCAAAAGAAAGTTCTGGTAAATAAATGTGGAAATAAATATTTCAGTATGAAAGTAATTGAAGTATACAAAATAAAATAATAAGATGCAATAATACCCTTATCTCTTAAGTAAAACTTCCAATACTTGAAACTTACCAAATACTAAACTTTGGGAGTCTCTTTCATTGACACTGACCTCTAATAGGTTGGAAATAATACAAACAACCCCTTTAAACCAGAAATATAAAAGTGTAATAGGATAACTAACCTGGCAAGGCAAGCAGTGCAACCAATTCAAAGTTTATTACATATATGTAACAGTGATCTAGCCGAGGGGTCTAATCCATCTCGCCACCTGTTTTTGTAAATGAAGTTTTATTGGAGCACAGTCATGCCCACTTGTTAAGCTATTGTCAATATCTGCTTTTGCAATATAGCAACAGAGTTGAGTAGTTATAACATAGGCTATATATCCTCCCATGCAAACCCTAAAATGTACTACATTGCCCATTGCAGAAGAAGATTTTTCTGACCCCTGATCTAGAATGAGGCTGAGGCTACTTCTGCTTCAAGTTGCAAAAGGAACTTAATGGGCTTGTGTGCAGCAAGGCCAGCCTTGCTGTCTCCTACCACATCACAGCGTGAGCGTTGTTCAGACTGCAAGTGCTTTCATGAGAAATCAGGGAAGGCCTAGGAAGCATCCACAGGACCCTGAATATCACTATTATGTTTTCTCCACTCCTGGAACTTGGCAGGGAAATAATTTTTAAGATATTCTGAGGTATGATTGGAATAATTTTTTTATACCAGCTTATGTCGTTTATTTGCTTGTTTATTGACAGTTGGTGGGATGCAAGAAACTGTACTCACCGTCACCGGCAAATCTGTTAAGGAGGTGATGAAGTTGGACGATGACGAAACCTTTGCCAAATTCTACCGCAGCATGGACGATACTGTGCCAAGGAGTCCTGTGGAGCTAGAAGAAGACTTTGATGTTATTTTTGACCCTTATGCCCCCAAGTAAGTTACTGCAATTTCTGCCTTTCACCCACTGAGAATGGACTCCTTCCTCAGCCTCCACCCAGTATTTTCATGAGGCTCTTCTCTCTCACTGTGTTACTCCTGTGGCAGAACTTCATTGCAACCAAATTATTGCAGTATTCCCCCCTTATCCACAGAGAATATGCTCTAAGACCCCCCAGTGGATGCCTAAAACTGTGGATAGTACCACCCCTTCATATACTATGTTTTCTCCTGTACTACATAAATACCTTTTCACTTAAAGGAAGCACTATACAGCTTTTCTCTGGTATATCTGAATTATCAGCATCACTGCTCTTATTCTTTGGGGCCATTATTATGTAAACTAAGGGTGACTTGAACACAAGCACTGTGATACTATGACAGTGATCTGATAACCAAGATGCCTACTAAGTGACTAATGGGCAGGGAGCACCACCCACAGGGTGGATGAGTCACAGGACTGAACAGAATGGCAGCAAGTGTCATCCTGCTCAAAATGGTACACAATTTAAAGCTTATGAATTATTTATTTATGGAATTTTCTGTTTAATATTTTCATACTGTAGTTGACCTTGGGTAACTGAAACCATAGAAAATGAAACCGTGGATAAGGGGGGACTACTGTATTCTCTGAGCAGACATGTAGTGCTGTGGGTAGATGAAACATGCATGCCTCAGAACAGATGTGTATTCAGGCAGAAAGTCTTACTGACACAGCATGTGCTGCAGATGTTTGCCCTATTCCTAAAAATGTCACTGGATTTTTCACATACTCCAATATTGTTCTGAATATTTTAGACTAACATCAATTAACAGAGATTTCTATACCTTTTGTTTGATATATCAAATTCTTACTCATGACTTTAAAATATATTTGCATCACATGGGCTCAAATTAATACAACTACCTAGAAAATCAATAAAGCATGTTACTTAACTTACAATAATTTATAAAATCAGTAGATCTGAGAGTTTTCTCAAGATATACAAGGGTCTGTGTTTCCACAGGAACATGACTAAGCCACCTAAGAAAAGCAGTTATGGTTTATGATTCCTTCAGTTACAAGCGCCAGAAAGAAATCCAAATCAAACTGACGTTAGCAAAAGAAAGGTGTGGGGGGATTTACAGGTTCACTCATTGAAAAGTATAGGCGTGAACTGAGGGTCTTGGAGGATCCTCAGAATATGGTCTCTTTCTTGCCTGCTTTCCTTTGGTTTGCTTCACTCTCAGTCGGACTGTGGCCATGGGGTGAAGGCGGCCACCTCTAGCTCAGGATTCTTAGCTGCTTACTTGGCCACTCCAGCACAGGCAGCTCCTCTTCCAAGTAGTTCCAGCAGAAGTTCCAGGCTTGATTTTCTTGGGTCTGAGTTCATCCTTAAAGCAATCCTGTGGCCAACGGGCTAGAAGATGGTGATTGGCCAGAGCTGGTCTCTGGATCCCATCCTGAGCTGGGGTTGGAGGCAGAGGATTGAGTGAAATGGGTTCTCCAAAGGAGAGTAAAGGTGCTTTTATCAGAAGTAGGGAAAATACTCTGGGCAGGCTAAACCCACAGCTATTAACCACATTTATCTTTTTCCTACAAATTTATCAGAGTAACAATCTCTTCCTTAAGTCTGTGTAGTCATAAATTTTTCCTTAAGCCACTTCATTTGTTGCAGGTTTCAATATACTTCTTTTTTTAATTTGCTACCTTAAGAAAATTAAAAATTTACCATTTCTATATTTAAATAATATTTTAGGTATTTGCATGCATGATTATTTAGCCATTTCTCAATCTTCTCCCAACCCAAATGTTTAAATTGTTTAAATCATTATATATATATAACTTAAATGTATATGTATGCTTACACACACCCACATACAGGATAATATTATATATAAAGAAGACTTGCAGGCATAGAGACCTGTGCAGTTGGAAGTTGAGAGCAACAGCTAGAATCTATTGGGAAATCATATGACTGGGTCCACCCACCTCCCCATGTCTGGTTGTCTTCCCCAGAGAGTTGTGTGAGTGTGTGGCAGTCATAGCTGGTTTTGTGAACCAATTTTATTTCCATCTATTCTTTAAAATAGTGGTTATTTTTCAGAGGGGGCAATGGACTGCAAGGAGACTCATTATGAAAAATTATTGTGTAAAAAGAAAGGTTAGTCTGCAGGAAAGAGGATGGAAGGGAGAAGCAGTGGCTGGCTGTGAATCCTTGAAGGGCTTTCCAGTAACAGAAGAGGTAGATATGTGCACTATTCCAAGGGGAAGAATTGGAACGGGTAGGTGGGTATGTAGGGTTAGGGAAGAACTTCCTACCCTTGAGAGCTCTCTAAGGAGTGGGATGTGCTGCCCAGTTAGGCACTGGTGCTTTTCAGGCAGAGCCCATGGGAATGGGTAAGTGGGGGCTTCAGGGATTGCGTGGATTCTTGAACTACCTGACTCTCCCCTTGAATCTCCCTTCCATCCCCAAGATTCTATGACTTCATGTCAGGGGAGTGGCTGGTGGGAAGAAGAGTTGTAAGATTTATAATAAAATCAGAGAATGAAAAACTGTGGAGCCTATTGCTTCAGGTCAGAGACCTTCAATAAATCAGGAGTTACTACAGACTGAGGCCGCAGCTCTGTTTTGCTCCTCAGGTTGACATCTTCAGTGGCCGAGCACAAGCGTGCAGTTAGGCCCAAGCGCCGGGTTCAGGCTTCCAAAAATCCCCTGAAAATGCTGGCAGCAAGAGAAGACCTCCTTCAGGAATACACTGAGCAGAGACTGAATGTCGCCTTCATGGAGTCAAAGCGGATGAAAGTAGAAAAGAGTGAGTATTTGGAACCACTCACCACCCTGCTTCTGTGCTTGAGAATTGGTGACATGGTGATTCCAATCCTCCTTTTTCTGCCTTGCAAAGGCCAGTAATGGTGCTCATAAGACACTGATTAAATAAAAATGAGTAAGCTTGTACATACACATGCCACCTGCAGAAAATCTGCCTAGAATTTAAAGGCTCTTCACAGAAATTCTCATAGCATCAAGCATCTGTTAATTGGAAAATTCAAATTACCCTGATTTGCTGCCTCTTCTTTCAAGAGGTTGGAGGAGAAGGATGTTTTGGGGCTTTGTAATTCAGCCAGTTGTCAGCTAGTTCCATAGGGCCCAAACACAATAATTCTCCACTTACTCTTAGTCAAGAGGAAATCATTTGATTTCTCAAGGGAAAATGTCCCAAATCACTGCTTTGCCTAATCCTAGATTTTTGTATTATTAATTAATGCATAAACCAGTGCTCTGCAAATTTTTTTTGATGGGATGTAGGTTGGGTGGAATGGGGGCAGTTGAATAGGGACAGTGAAAGAAGCCTGAGGAAGTAGGCTCCAGGCTATCTGTTTCACTGGAGGCAATGCTGCTCTGCTTTTACCTGCCCAGTATGGTGGAGTTTCATAGCTTTCAACAGAGGTTTCCTTGGTGGAGAAAATGGCATGCATAATTGTGCTGTTTTGAATATACTTCCTATAATTTTTCTTTTCCTGTAGCAGTAAACCTATTTCCTAAAGTTTTTCTTAGAAATATAGTATTTAGATAAAGTGATTGAGTCCTTTCAACATAACTGGTTTACTAAGAAAGTATATTTCAGAATCACTATGCCACATGAATTCTCAAGGTGTGTTATATTTCTTCAGTATTAGAACCTAATTCCAGCAAAATAATTTTTCTGAATTCTTCACCAGAATATGCATTTTTTAAAACAATGAGGTGGATAAATGAAGGTTTATTGGCACAAATCTTACCTACTTTTCTTCTGCTTCCACTTTTGGGTGGTGCAGAGCGTATCTTTGTGGTGACTGACACATATACGTTTGTTGGTCTACACTGAAAACTCAGCATCTTGTTATTACAATCTTAAATTGAGAGCAAAAGACCTCAGATGAGCAACTTATCACTTTGGCTCCAGAAAATGATTAGAACTAAACCATCCTTTATAGAATGCTTGATTTTCTACTTTTGGAAGAAAATAAAGGCTTCGGTGAAAGACATCTAACAGTCTTCCTTGAGAACGTATTTTCAACATCTCAACATTGTTAGGAATTATAATAGTTTTGAGTGGAATTGCAACGTGAGTCCAGCTCCTGATTTTATTCTAAAGTAGCTGTACCACATTGTCTCTCGATTCTTGTCTCTACATGGTGAGGTGTGACACTTGTCAACAAGCAGTTTATACTTTCAGTACAGTGTTGAATTGTTAATAAGGGGTTAAGCACTGCACTAAATAGTTAATCAGACTTGAGTATGTTCTCCCCTCAGGATGAACTTAACAGAAAAAGATAGTAGGTTATGAATAATTTCTGATTGTAAATAAACATTGTCATTTTGCCTGAACATCTTGCTTCTCCTTGTATTTTTGTGTTTCTTTATTCATTCATCCCAGTGTCCTCCAACTCCAACTTCTCAGAAGTCACCCTGGCAGGTTTAGCCAGTAAAGAAAACTTTAGCAGCGTCAGCCTGCGAAGCGTCAACCTGACGGAACAAAATTCTAACAACAGCGCAGTGCCCTACAAGAAGCTGATGCTGTTGCAGATCAAAGGTATGTAAGAGCAGCAGGAGGAGTTCCCCGCTGGCCAGGGCTTTCAGTCAGGCAGCATCAGGGATCCTGACTGCCCTTAACCACCTGTCATGGGAAGGGAACTTCTGCTATTTGAGGACCTGCTGTGCGCCAGGCAAAAACTACCCCCTCTCAAGTAAGCTTCATAAAATCTATGGGGTGCCCTCGCAGGTATGGCTCAGTTGGTTGGAGTGTCATCTTGTTCACGAAAGGGTCTCGGGTTTGATATCCAGTTAGGGCACGTGCCCAGGTTGTAGGTTACACCCCTGGATCATAC